ATACACATTCTATTATACATTTTAATGTTTTTATATTTAAGACACTTGGTAATTCATTAATCATGTTCTTCAAATGTTTTTGTCTATTTTAATATCTTATGAACCAACTCTGCTGTAACCTTCAGTTCTCAGATTTCCAGATTCCTATTCTACTACTAGAATGATATAATTTCTTCTAGTTCTGTTGAATGACCAGATGAATGACTGCAAACTCATCATTACTCTTGGATTCCTTGTTATTCAAGTCACTTCAGTGCACTTTCTTTATAGGCACAGTGCACTTTGGTGTGGGTTACCTTTTCAAACTGGTAAGAAAGCTGTAAGTGTTAAGCACCATGACTAGCTCAGATGGAATACTAAGAATGTCATTTGGACAGCTAATAGCGCTAAGGAAATGCAAGTATCTTATTACCCAACAGCCTATTACAGTTGTCCCACTATGGGTACTTTTTAGGGAGTATGCATTTGTTTGCAAGTGTAGAGGTACACGTGTGACAGGTTTGCAGGCAGCCACAGATAATGTGAAGCTCCTAGGAAGCTGATACATTAAGATGTCCTTGCATTGAGCAAGAGTAGCAGGAACAACTGCCCACACAATCTTTGTCTGTGTGTTGATTTGTAGCCTTCAGAATCTGTACTGTATTGCATATTTACTTATCTGTGAACATCACAAAAATATTCCCTGGGTTGTATGTGCTGAAAAAGCATAGAGAAAGAAAGACTATGTCTACTTTGTAGAGCTTAACCTCTAAATGTAAAAGGCAGATGAAAGTTGAGATAGGAAATGGAGGAACTGGCAGAGCAGATTAGTGACACTGTCAGAGTATGCTGTGGTTTAACACAGCAATTAAGCACCTTGCAGCTGCTCACTTGCACCCCTGCAGCAGGATGGGAGGAAGAACTGGAAGGGTAAAAGTGATAAAGCTCAAGGGTTGAGATAAAGACAGTTCAACGGGGAAAGCAAGAGCTGTGTACACGAGCAAAGAGAAACGAGGAATTAATTCACAGCTTTCCATGGTCAGGCAGGTATTCGGCAACCTGCAGAACAGCAAAGCTCCACCACATGCAACAGTTACTTGGGAAGAGAAACACCATCACTCCAAAAGTCCCCACTCTTCCGCCTTCTTCTCCCACCTTTTACTGCTGAACATGACACCAGATGGTCTGGGTCATATGGGATATCCCTTTGATCAGTCAGAGTCAGCTCTCTCAGCTGTGTCCCCTCCCAGCTTCTTGTGCACCCCCAAGTCTCCTCACTGCTGAGGCAGCGTGAGAAGCAGAAAAGGCCTTGAGGCTGTGGCAAGCATTGCTCAGCAACAACTAAAACATCCCTGTGGGTTATCAACACTGTTTTCAGCACAAATCCCAAACATAGCCCCATACTAGCTACTATGAAGAAAATCAACTCCACCCCTGACAAAACCAGAACAGAGTAAAACTGAGATTACTTGAATCCCAGTCCAGTAGTCTGTCACCTAAGACCTGAAGCTGTACTGCCTAACAGCAGGCACCAAAATAAGCTTTGTCACATCAGATTCTCCTGCTAGTTTTCAGAGCGAAATAGGCACACTCAGAGGGAGATTTGACCCCTCCAGTATGTGCACAACCCTCTCAAGGCAGCCATCACTGATCTCTGTTGTGTAAAGTGGGAGCTATCTCCCAAGTCTGCCCTTGGGCATACCAGTTGGGCATACCTCAAGAGTAGTATGTCCTTAAAACCTGACCAGCCCTTACACAAAAACACAGTTACAAACTTGAGAAGTATGAGTATGTTGATAATTAGCCAAGCAATAGTTTAGCATATTCTTCACTCATTGTTACTTATGTTTTCTCACAACTGCTACAAACTGAAGGCAGGTAAAAGCTTCTAGTTCTTTCCTTTTTGAGTGTGTGTGTGTGTGTGTTGTGTGTGTGATTCTCCTCAGAATATATGTGGATTTTGGCTGGGTGATTTCTTTTCATCCATCCTGCTACTTAGAAACTCCATTAAATCACAAATACATTTCATGCATCCTTATGTATTGGTAGTAAAATGTTGTCTAATAAATTCTAATACAGTTGTGCCACCAGCATAAAAGAGAAGAAATTAACCATAATACCAGGAAATCCTACCTTCCTGTATTGATTTCAGTTCAGCAATACTTCACAACACAAAGGCCCACACACCCACAAGACTCAGCACATGCCAGGGTAATTGATTTGGGCTCAAATATGAGGGTGCCCTCAAAAACCAGTAAATGGTTTTGTTCTTTTTCTCTTTTGTCCCTTAGAAGTCTCTCCCACTCTGGAAGATTTATTGAGCTCTTAAAGGAAGAATGGATGATTTATGCATGATAAGGTGGTTTTCCAAAGAATGTGGTTCATTCATTCATGTCAACAGAAATCTAAGATAAAATTACAGTGTTAAATTATGCATACTTTAGATATACATTGTGTGCTATGAAATGTGTGTTAAAGTAAAGGGAACAAGTATTTTTTGTTCTGTGGGAACGGAAGTTGCACATCAATGTTTTTCCCAAAGATTTGGACATGTTTTGTCTGATATATCCACTGTATCTTTAGCTTTTTAAAATAAGTGGAATTCTTGTATCAGTTGATTTCTTAGCTTTATTATAGTACATAATGCAAATACTACTAGCACACAATTAATTACATCTCTGCCTAATTACACTTTGTAATTTTTCCCTGCAAGTATTTTACATGCAGAGCTGTACTGGCACACATGCTAATACATAACAAAAGACAACCATTACCTACATCCTTAGAGCCACATTGCAAATGTCTACAGTACTGCCCGTAGGGTTTTAGGTACCCATGGTAGCATTTAAACACCAGAGAGCAGGGAGCAATTCAAACCTGTTGCTGCCTTGGGCTGTGAACCCCTAAGTTCTTACGCAGTCAGAAGAGTGAAATAGCTACACCTACTCTCCTCTGACAGGTTGCACTCTCACACTGATGAACCAGAGCCACACCCTAAAACATCACAGGTGCTGCAGAGATGCTCCCACTGTGGTGACTTGTTAGCAATTGAATAGGAATTCTTAATGTAATGCATTTTCATGGAAATACTTATGTTAGTTTTGAGTTAAAGAGCTCATTTTTTCCACTTTGGTTAGGCAAGGTGCCAGAGGACGCTTCCAAGCAAAAGATGAAGGGTATACTATAAACTCGTTTTAATTGCATTATCATACGCACCTTAGGTCGCAAAATAAAAATTCAAAATAAAATTACATTTGTTGTCTTCAGATAGCTCTACAGGGAGATCAAAAGGACAAAGGCCACATCCATTAACAAGTAGCATGGTGCAAAATGGGGAGTGAAGTCCCTCCCACTGTAAGTGAAGAGCAGGCTTGAGACCACTTGATGAAACTGAATAGCCACAAGTCCATGGGGCCTGATGAGATGCTTCCCAGGGGCCTGAGGGAACTGGCTGATGTTGTTGCGAAGCCACTCTCCACCATATATGAAAAATCCTGGCAGTCAGGTGAAGTCCTCAGTGACTGAAAAGAGGGAAACATTGCTCAATCGGAGACCCTCATCCCTGTGGCTGGGAAGACTCTGGAGCAGATCCTCATGCAAGCAATGTTAAGCAGGTATGAGACAAAGAGTTGATCCAAGACAGCCAGCACAGCTTCATTAAGGGCAAATTGTTCCTGATCAATCTGGTGGCCTTCTATGATAGAGTGACTACAGTGGTTGACAAGGGATGATTGTCATTTATCCAGACCTCTGTAAGGCCTTTGACCTGGTCCCACATGACATCATTATCTCCAAATTGGAGAGACATGGATTTGATTGATGGACTATTTGGTGGATAAGGAATTGGCTGGATGGATGCAGACAGAGAATTGTGGCTCTGTGTCCAGGTGGAGGCCAGTGAAGAGTGGTGTTCCTCAAGGCTCTGTCTTGGGACTGGTGCTCTTTAATTTATCAGCGACGCAGAAAATGGGATCAAGTGCACCCTCAGCAAGTTTGCAGATGACATGAAGCTGAGCAGTGCATTTGGCACAACAGATGGAAAGATGCCATCTAGGGGGACAAGCTTAAGAAGTGGGCCCATAGGAACCTCATGAAGTTCAAGAAGTACAAGTGCAAGGTGCTGCACCTGGGCTGGGGCAATCCTAGATATGAGTCCAGACTGGGAGAACAACCCATTGAGAGCAGCCCTGTGGAGAAGGACTTGGGGGTTTTCAAGGATGAAAAGCTGGACATGAGCCAACAGTGTGTGCTCGCCCAGAAGACCAATGGTATCTAGGGCTGCATCAAAAGAGGATTGGCCAGCAGGTCGAGGGAGGTGATTGTCGCTCTCTGCTCTTCCCTCGTGACACCCCACCTGGAGTGCTGTGTCCAGGTCTGGGTTCCTCAGCACAGGAAGGACATTCATTGCCTGTAGAAACGAGTCCAAAGGAGGGCAACCAAGATGATTAGAGGGATGAAGCACTTCTCTTATGAGGAAAGGCTGAGAGATTTGGGGTTGTTCAGTATGGAGAAGCAAAAGTTCTGGGGAGATCTCATTGCAGCCTTCCACTACTTTAAGGGGGCTTATAAAAGAGAGAGCGATGTTTTACATAGTGAGATAGTGATAGGACAAGGGGGAAATGGTTATAAACTAAGAAAGGAAATTTAGATTAGCTCTTACAAGAAATTCTTTATTGTGAGGGTGGTGAGGCATAGGAACAAGTGGCTCAGAGATGACGTGGATGCCCCATCCCTGGAGGTGTTCAAGGCCTGGTTGGATGGGGCCCTGAACAACATGTTCTAATGGGTGGCGTAATTGCCCATGGCAAGGGTGTTGGAACTAGATGATCCTTAAGGTCCCTTCCAACTATTCTATGCATAGGGGCATTTCCAGAGTGAAAGAGGTGCTAGCAATGCCCTGGTAAACCACACCGTGTCTTACAGGGCGAAGGCTGTTTTGGACTAGCTCTAGTATTGAAGGAACAAGGAAGTACTGAATGGCTGCACACATCAGCATTAATGAGACCTTAACTATAAATCACCCACTCTTCCAATGGAAGGGTTCTGGAATATGTAGTAAGAACTAATACAGTATAGAGATACTCAAAGGGCTGCAGAAGTTGGGCCAGGATTTCTTGAGGACTCCTGAATCATCGTGTGTACAAGATCATGCAAAGACTCTTCCAATCTTTTCATGGTCTCATGAAAAGTCTATTCATAGCTGGCATGCAAACTTTTCCCTGTCACGAAATACCAAAAACATTTTGTGTCTTCTTTTGACTGTTTAGTTGACTCAATGTTACCAGCTTTCCTTTCCTTCTGTCCTTTTTTCCCTCTCTCCATTTAACAGAATCCAACATTTCTTTAAGTAAATGATTGTATTTGGTATTTTTATCAGAATGATTTGCACCTGGAATTTGCAAAAATTAGCTTATACTGAAATGTGAGGCCAATGAAACTAAATCCTAGAGGGATATGTACTAAACACTGACTAAATATCCAAGATATCAAAAATTGCAGAAAACAGAGCACAGAGAAAAACAATGAAGATTTTAAAGTGCACCTGCTTTGCAAACAGAGTGCAATGGCTGCATGAGGTGAACACTGAGATCAAAGTTTTCCATCTGAGGTGATAAAATCTGGAATTTCCAGACTTGGAAACTACCTTCAGTCCAGTAATTATGTGGAAGAAGGGAGCCTTCAAAATAATTTGTATTGTCTGTGAATATTGCAGTTACAGCCTGAAAGCCAAAGACTCAAAATGAGCCAATTTCGATATTATGCTTAGGTTCCATTACATCACTTACATCATGAGTTTAAATCATGATGTAAAGCTCCCATTTATGTCCATGATTTAGCAGTTACAGATACAGTTATTAAGGCATCATTGCTATTATTTCAATTATTGTAATTAACATGGATTATCTCCTTTTTCTGGCATGTATAAAATCCTCCATGCATTGAGTGGTCCATGACTATTAAAAAAAAACAAAACCAAAAAACCCCCAAACCTCTAAGAGTCGCAGTGCTTCCTGTTCCCTTCTGCCAGTGATCCTTAAACTCAGCTTATTTAATGTTTCCTCAGCTTATACTTGTCCCTGGAGGAAAGCCCCACTAAAAATAATTGTTTATAAATCTAGTGACAGATGTGAGGAATTTATCTCCTTACCACGGCAGGACACGCCTCGCCTATTCTCCAGATCGAGGATTAGCTGACAGGCAGGAGGGACAGACATCGGGCTACGATGTTTTCTCACTGCCTCCCTCCAGGGTTTCGGCCGAGACAAAGGAGGAAGTGAAAGGAAGCAGTGAAAGAAAGCAGGTGCTGTGGGACGAGCGGGACACGGCCCCGCACCGGGATGACTCCCCCGGGGCAGGAGCGGGCAGGGGGCGCGCGCCGGAGAGCGGGGGCCCCTCCCGTCCCCCCCCGCCCGTCACCCGCCGCGGCCGCATCACACCACGGCACCCCCCCGCAGCTCGGCGCGCGCCCCTGGCCCCGTAAGCAGCCCCCTCCTTCCGGACCAGCACCGGGTCCTCCGCACGCGCCCCGCTACCCCGGGCCGCCCGCACCCCCTCGCCTCAGGCCTCCGCCAGCACTGCGCGCTGCGCGCCCCGGCGCCTGACACCGCCTCCCCGGCGGGCGAGGCCGGGCGGGCGCCACGCCCCGTGACAACGCTCCAGCCCTGCGGGCCGGCGCGGCGACCCCCAGCCCGGCTCCGCCCGCCCCACCAGGGCCCGCCCGCCGGCCCCGGGCCGCTGCGCGCTCCTGGCCGGTGGCGCGCGGGGGCGGCCCGCCAGGCTCATCTCGCGCGCCCTGCCCTCCCTGCGCGCTCCTCCGGCTGGCAGCGAGCTGCGACGCGCCGCCCCGCAGGTAGCCGGGCCGAGCGAAGCAGGCCGGCCGAGCCGAGCCGGGGGCGCGCGGCCAGCCGGGCGGGTGGGGAGCGCGGGATCCCGCACGGAAACCGCGCCGGGGCGCTACGGTGGGTTAGGGAGCTTCCCGTGCGGCGGGGGCTTCCGGGGGCCTCCTTGCCCGCCGCTTCTGCGCCGCCGAGGTACGTGTCGAGGCGCGGCCGCCGCGCGTCCCCGTGCGGTGCTGCGGCCTGCGGCCCCGCCCGGGCATATGGACAGGCGGGTGGGCCCGCCGCCGGTCCCTGAAGGCTTACGGTCGCCGAACCTTGGCGACCTCCGCTGGGCGGGGAGACGGCGGCCCTGCCGCCTGTTGCGGGGCGGTGCGGTCCCGGGCTGCGGCGGCGCCGGCCCGTACCTTGGAGGGCGGGGGCGTAGCGCCCACCCGAACAAAGGGGCGCGCCCCGAGGCTGGCGGAGGGGCTGCGGTGCTCATCCCCCGGCCGGGCTACGCCGAGCGATGACGGGTCCTGCCCTGGCCGGGTGCCGCAGACCCTGGTGTGTGTGAGTGTGTGTGCGCTGCGGTGCTAGGGTGAGTAAGAGCAGGGTTTCTGCAACGTGTAATTGCTGCTCGCTTTCGTGTGCTGCGCTTTTCTGTAGTTACCGGTGACTATAGCTTGTGGTTGCCTGCTACAAAAGGGAGAAGTACGAAGTGTGACTACTTAGTTCCCTAATTAAAAGAGCCTTTCGATGCTCACCTGTTTCGTTAGGTAAGCAATTTGGTGTTCGCTTTTGGGTTTCTTTTAAATAGAAGCTAATAGCTTCAGCTCCTTCGCCTTAATTGACTCTGAAATGAAATTGTAAAGTGGGCCATACATATCGGGAGAGTAACCTGGAGAGCAACTTTTGTGTACGATCCGTGTGTTTATTTTGTAGCATCACAGAACTGTTCTAGCAGAAAGACTGCCGAAGTGTTTATTTTCTGACGCCTAATGTTTTGTTTTAAGCTTGCATTCCAGTTCTCATTGGAAAGAGAATTGCATTCTGCTCTGCAAATCATTACACTTGCACGAGTGGAAGAATACGTACCTCTGCTGGCATTTTAGTGTCTGGCAATAGGTTATGGAGAGATCTGCGCATAAAGATATCAGTCATTCTTTTCCACTGGAAGTTAAATTGAAAAGAGAGGAACTCCTGGGAGAGGGGCTGCATTGACTGGGAGACGAGACTGGTATTCTGTTAGTTTTCAGGATAATTAGCAGTGATTATAACTGGATTCTTAATAATTAATCATCTTCTTTTCAGCTGACTCACTAATTTCTTAGCATACACCTCAATATTTAAATCCTGAGAAATTGCAAACATTCTTAGTAGAACGAAGAACAACTGTTTGATACATTATCTCTGATGCAGATTATATCCTGCAGTCTGTGCTTGTGAGACAGCTTGTCAAACATTTTTTTGTGGAAGCCTCCAAATGGTAGAAATTTTAGGACTTGCCAGTGCTAGTCATGTTTACCGTTTTTTCTTTTCTGTATAAATAGGAAAATATGTTGCACAAATAGGAAAATACTGTTGCACAAAAAGATCAAAAAAAGCCTTCAGTCCACTGCATGGACTCGTCTGTGAGGTTAAATAAGCTGTGATGCTGAACAGTGAATGTACTCCTTTACTATTGTAAATTCCTTGATCTCAGTCTTCACTTTGTAGTGTTCTTCTGAATTTAGGAAGGGAAAGATTATAAACATTTTAAAGTGAAGTATTTTAAGTTGCATGTACTTTGACCATGTTGAAATAATACTGTCTTTATTTTTTTAGACCTTAAGGAGAGGATCTTTAGCCATGAAAGTGAAAACTGGAATGTCTCCTAGCTGTGCATTTGTTGTAATCTCTGTCACCTGTGGCTGTGTGCTCTTTGGATAAATAATTCATAGAAATAGTAGGCTACTGGGGAGGAAGGATAGGAGTGGAGAATTGGGGCAGGGAGAGGTGTGGCTGTGAGGATAAGGCAGTACTGGGTGAAGGCAATGAAGGAGGAAGACAAGACTCTTAAATAAGTGTGGTTGGAGACCTTGCAGTGGTCCATGTGTCTTCTGTAGTCAGACTGACTTACACCTTCTGTAAGAACAGTTGTGTTCTTAACCTCAGTTAAGTCATGCACTGACAACCCATATTTACTTTTTCTACGGGTCTACCATGAAACAGAGGCGTTATGTCTCAGATGAGCTTTTACTCCTGTTACATTTCAAGTGTATGTGACTTGAAAGAAAATAATTGCTGAGGCAAAGGATGTTGCTGTCTTAGAAACTGATGTATGGCAGTCTCCGATACCAAAGGATAATGTAGGTACAGTGCATTATTGTGTAAAAAGTTGTTTAGGAACTGCATTTAGCTAATTGACAACATCATGATTTTTGCTGCAGTTTTACAATTGAAGAAGAAATAATTATATGAGAAAAATCTTTTAACTTTGTGATTGGATTTGTTTGCTTTGCCACCCTAGCAAGTGCTGTAGGATATAGTGGGAATCAGTGGCTGATCACATGTGTTCTAGACAGGGAACTCCCCACCCCCTTGAGAGTGCTTACAGGCAACTTCTGGTAAACTTCTAATGGCTCTAACCTATTGAAATTACTTTGGCCCTAAATCGAAATCTATTTTATGTGAAGAAGGTAGTTCAGTAGGCTAGTGACAGCATTCTTGTGAACATATTGTAGCCTGTCAACATCACACATGCAGTTATGGGGCAAGTGTTTTTAGCCTCCTTTCTACCTTGTGAAGAATTGATGTGAGGAACCAAGCAAATAGAATAGTTGGTATTACTGTATGTCCACTAAATGTTCTGCAAAATGCTTTAAATTTTTTGAATTACTAAGTAGGGAAGAAATGATTGTATGTTGTTAGTCTACTACAGTACTTAAAATCAGCTCTCAGAGTGGTTCTAGAATGTTATTGTTAGGTCTTACTGACTGCAGAATCTGAAATTGTTTATAGTCCTTGTGGATATAAAGAAATTAGAGCCACTTTAACAAATAGACACTATATAGACACTATAACAAATGTGCCTTGCAGATAGTCCAGGGTGTTATTAAATCCTGTTTGCCTCCTACTCCTGTTTTCTTGACTGTTACGAATCAGAGTGAGCACCTAAAAAGGACTTATCTGTGGTTACAGCTGCTTGTTGAATCTCTTTGGTAGATGTGGATCCCACAGCCATCAGGTTAGGCTTATACTCTTGAGCCTTAGGAGCTTTTCTTAGGAGCTGAAAAAAAATCTGAAATTCCTACAGAAAAAACAGTGTTGGATTTAGAGGCAGGAACAAGTTGTAAAGAAACGTCTTATAGACTAAGTAACACTGCCTTAGAATAACCTGATGAGAAAATTCATTGCCTTTGCCTGGAGGGTGGCTTAGTATTTACTACTAGTGTTTTGTTTAGGATTAGGTTTGTCTCTATCAAAATTCCCATCACCTTTGGGA